CCCCAGGGCCTGGCGTCTGGGGCCCCCTGGGGCCCTGCACACTCGGGTCCCTCCCGACGACCAGGAGACTGTTCTCCCTAACGGTGTCTCCAGCAAGGGGAGGGATAACACCTCAGAGGCCGCCGATAAACGTAATGGACTCTTCGCGATGGGGCGCGGCCAACCAGAAGTGGCCGTGCCTCTTCGTGTCGCTGGCGACCATTCAAAAGGACTACACGCGAGTGGGTGGGAGACGGGGGAGGGGGGTGAATTTGAGACGGTTTTCCTTACTAATGGTGTCTGACACCGGCGACCGATTCTGCCAAAAACCTAGACGCTCCAGACATTACTCTCCTGCCACAGCCCAGAAAGACCCTCGCGCTCCCAAGAAACCCCAAGAGACCTGAGCCACGGAAGAAGCCATGAGCAGAGAAGATCCCGCCACGGTCACCGGAGGTCGCCGAGACAGGCGCATGTCAACAGCCCTTCCTGGGGACCGCTAAGTACCGGGCTCCCGGGCAGGTGGCCAGGATCACATCCTATATCCTGCAGGGGCGGGGCGGGGGCCGTGACCCCAGGAAGCCACCTACGGGCACGACTCAACCTCCCCGAGCATAAGAGCCCCTTTCTCTAGCTCTGCAAGGCTAAGTACACGGCGGAGGCTCCGCCGACATGTCAGACGGATTTCAAAGGATCTTCGCTCCCTTCCAGAAAACACTCCTGTGAGTCAGTGGGAAAAACTGGTCCGATTTTAAATGCATGGCAATCAAACGCTGTCCCACAGTATTGGAAATAGGTCGTCACGGCTCTTTAAAACCAATTTCGGGAACGAATGACGGTAAACAGAGGCACGAGAAACAAAACCCAACGGCACTAAAAGAACAGTCAAGTACGGAAAGACAACGTTGCTGGACCGTCTCCGCACGAGCACGAGCGAGCGCGCTATTCATGAACTGACAAATCATCAGGGAGCGACCTACAAAAGTAACTACTAACGGCTACAACTCGAGAGGCAGCCCTAGAACACTTTAGAAGTTGGAAGAGATACACTGAAGCCTTGTAGAGTTACATTGATGCCTCATAGAGATACACTGAAGCCTTGTAGAGATACATCGAAGCCTTATAGAGATACACCGAAGCCTTGCACTGCTTAAGGAGCACGTGGGCTGCTGCAAATCACTTCCTCGTTCCAACAACTCGAGAGGCAGCCCTAGAACCATTTAGAAGTTGGAAGAGATACACTGAAGCCTTATAGAGATACACTGAAGCCTTGCACTGCTTAACGAGCACGTGGGCTGCTGCAAATCACTTCCTCGTTCAGAATCCCTTCTCCCCAGGTAGTGTGGAAATAACAGTACCTGTCCTGTCTTGCTTACAAGGCCATTCTTGGGCTCAAAGAGTGAGTGTATGTGGACGTGCTTCGGTGACTACGCACCCTTTGGGAATATAGGGGGCTGCTATTTTTCTAATCTTTAGAGGCTCCTTTAAATTTTTTTTCGTTTCTTTCTCCCCTGACTTTTCGGTGTTTTTAAAAATTCATTGTATGAAACTTAGATTCGGGTACTTTACAAACATTTACCCGTTTATTACTCATGGGAAACACTACTGTACATGCTACTGTCACCTCTGCACCCCACAGCCCCCCTAAGGTCACCCCGGGTTCTGCTTCCGATCCTTAGCCATGTGCAGCTGCTCAGAACCCACAGTACGGAGGGAAAGCCATCAGAACCACCCGACTCCGGTGCGCAGAGAAGAGTGAGGGGCCCCCTCGCTGGGAAGGGTTCACTGCTTCTCTTCCCGTCCATGGATTTTCACAGGTCCGGGAGGTATTTTTCCTCTTTGCGACGCCATGAGACAAAATCCAGAATTCCACGGCGGGGAGTCTGCCAAAGTCATCTTTCAAACGCAGACGGAAGATTTTCTTTTTTTTTCCGTACTGCGTAAGTCCTGGTCCCAATGGAAGATTGTACCAACCATCTAGCCCAGCACTGGACGTGACGGCAGGCGTTGGATGTGCTGAAGGACCGAAACCTCTCCCAATTTCAATTCTCCATCACGCTCAGATCCTGTCGTTCTGAGAAAAGAGATCCAAAAAACATCGAATAACACTATCGGCCTGGAGCACTGGTGTCTAAGCTTCGAAGCATGCATCCTTTTCCATAAAAACGGAAGCATTCCTGATGTGTGTGTCGATACGGAGAGATGTAAATATTAGTATTTTAAAACAGCACGTAAAATCTTACGGAGGTCGAAAGCAAAACACAGTCGTTAAAAATAATATGTCACTAGGCTTTTTTTTTTTTTTCCCCTTTCGTTCTAAGTAGCACTTTGGAGGAAAGAGCTGCTGACGCAGGAGTCAGTGCCTAAGGTTAGGTTCCGGTGGTCTGGGGTGTGGCTGAATCAATACCGCAGTTCTTGAGTAAAGGCGAAGATGGTAAAAGAATGGATTCTAGAAGGTACAGACGGTGACGAAAGCTCCCAGGAAGCTGCTGCCCGTCTTCGGTTCACAGAGAAAATACGGGGAGAGAGCCAGGCGGGGGGCGATGCACACGACAGCCGTGATCTTCGGCGCACTCGATCCCGCGCGGGCGGTAACGTTTTGGGCACGCACGTGGAATCAGGGCTTTCGGTGGGAGCCGGGAAGCACGCAGTCGCCAAGGACCCTCAGGGACGGCTGCAGGGAGTCACGCCGGGTGGCCCGACCAGGTGCTACGGCAAGCAGGGAGGACCGTGCGGCTCTCCTGGGGGCCTCAGAGACACCGCAGGGCAGGCCAGCGGTCACAGTGACCAGAGAGCCACAACCGAGCAAGCAGCGCACACGCAACCTGACGCCGCAGTGCCCTCGCCCAGGGGGACCAGTCACTCCCGGGGCACCTGACCCTGCGCTCCGGGGTCCCTTCTGGGAAAGGAAAGGAAAAACAGCAGACACGTGGGGCTGACGGGATGTGCGGAGGGGGAGGGAGGTGCCGGAGGGGACTCCTGGGCCTGCACAGATGGAGGGCGAGGCGTGGTCAGCAGGTGCGGCGGTGGCAGGACAGCCCCATGGGTGCGGCCCGGAAGCCTCCGGAACTCCAGGACTGCACCCCCACTGGGCTTCGGCGATGGATCAGAGACCGGGGAGCCCGTGCGGTCAGACGACGGCCCCGTCTGCTCCTCCCTCCCGCGTCATCATGCTCCGGCTTTACACGTTCTTAATCTACCTTTCTAGGGTTTTCTTGAAGCTGTTAGTAGGAAAAACCAATTTATTCCAGTTAAATATACGACTCTAGGTGTCCTTTAAAAAAACGGTTTTAACAGCCTAATTGTATATGATAAGAAGTGATTAGCACGGGGATGCTCCTTTCCTAAGGCGCACGTTAAAACTTCGATGGTACGAATCTTTCGCGTCAGGACGTCGGTGCCAGATACACAACGAGCGAGCAGCACGGACTCTGGAGCACCCCCGCGCCACCTGGGCCAACGGCGATGAATCGAGTCGCTCGGTCTGGCATCGCGGACCTTCGCAGCCGTCATAATTAGGACGGCGCGTGGTTTGGCTCCGCCCGCGACGATCCCTAAAAACAGGTTTTGGAGATGCTGGGATTCTCGTCGGATCGCCCGCCGCCCCATCGGAGCGGAGCTGCAGAGCGGTGCGTACCGCCTGGAACCCCGCCCACTCTCCATGGAAGTATCTGGACCACAGGCTGGCTGGACACTCGGCCCCCAGCCCCGACCTCGCTGCGCGGATGTCACGTGCTCCGTTGAAACGCGTGAACCGAAGGGGCGCAGGGGTGCGATCGCCAGCGCTGGGGGGTCTCTCCGGGCTGCTTTTCCGCTTCCGTCGACAAAACCTCGAACTGGGGTCTTCTCGGTGACTCAGCAAGTGACTGACAGGCAACCGCTCACCGCGGGTCTGACAGGGGACCCGAATGACCCAGGCTTCCTGGCAACGCAGTTTCCTGTTTCCCACGGCGCCCCGGGCCTTTAATCCTCTACGGTAAATCAGGCCTGAGGAAGTGGTCTATGAGCTGCATGACCCGCCATAACCCACTGGCCCTGAGCCTGGGGCACCGGCCGTCGTGGGAGCATTTTTCGTATTTTAAAAGGACGCATACGATTCAGGCCTCTCAGCCATCGCCAGGAAAGAAGGGTGCCTCTACCTACCGCGGGCCATCCCAACGGCAGAGAGGCACCAGAAAGTTCTGAAGGATGGGTCCCGCCTTCTCCCCTGCACCCCCAGGCTCTGCCTGGAGAAGGCTCTGGTTCAGCCTGAAGACGGGCCGGCCCCTGAGACTGGAGCCCAGCAGAACAGTGTGCCCACTCACTGCAAGGCGCTGGATCACAGGTGAGGTTGCCCCTCCTTTTAAAATCTCCTTTGCGGCTGTAAACACCTTAGTGGATGAAGCGCTATCTGATTTAAAAGACTAACGCACAGCCCACACCAAAGCTACGACCGGACACACGCAGCCCTGGAGGCCGGGGGCACACACAGCCCCAGGGCCCCTTCCCCCTCGGCCGCCAACGACACACTCCCCCCAACCCCCACCTTCCTCCGCGTCCACACCCAGCCAGCCAGGCTTGCCCTGGTACCACTCCCACCCATGGCGAGTGGCGAGGGCAGCAATGTCTCCAGCACGCATTCTGACCTCAGCGTCTGGGCTTCGGCTCGACCTGACCACGGCTCTAAGGACTTTATTAACAAGGCTGAACAGCAGTGACGCCCGACTGTTAGGCACCACGGGGAAGGCACTGTGCTGGGGGTTGTCGCTGCTCATTATTACTAGTCGTCCCATTTTCTTTACTACCTAAAGCCCGGTTCGCAAAGGTGAGGAGACTTGCCTGAGGTCAAGCCGCTCACCGGTGGCACAGGCAGGACCTAAGCTCGGGTCTGTGTGACCCCAACACCTCTGCCCTTGACCACGAAAAACATCGGAGAAAGCTGAAACCTGCAGGAAC